CACAAGATGTCACATGACAATACGTGATGTATGTATCACAAGATGTCACATTACACAATACGTGATGTATGTATCACAAGATGTCACATTACACAATACGTGATGTATGTATCACAAGATGTCACATTACACAATACGTGATGTATGTATCGCGAGATGTCACATTACACAATACGTGATGTATGTATCGCGAGATGTCACAATTACACAATACGTGATGTATGTATCACAAGATGTCACATTACACAATACGTGATGTATGTATCACAAGATGTCACATTACACATACATACATCACGTATTTGTGACATCTCGCGATACATACATCACGTATTGTGTAATGTGACATCTCGCGATACATACATCACGTATTGTGTAATGTGACATCTTGTGATACATACATCACGTATTGTGTAATGTGACATCTTGTGATACATACATCACGTATTGTGTAATGTGACATCTTGTGATACATACATCACGTATTGTCATGTGACATCTTGTGAAGATGTCACATGACACAATACGTGATGTATGTATCACAAGATGTCACATTACACAATACGTGATGTATGTATCACAAGATGTCACATGACACAATACGTGATGTATGTATCACAAGATGTCACATTACACAATACGTGATGTATGTATCACAAGATGCTACTATTTACTTAATTTTTATTTTTTGAAGAAATGTGTCAAGAAAGGATGGTTGATGTATCAGCATTCAAAAGAATGGCACAAGCACTGGGTTGTTTTGACCACTTCTTCCATGGTCCTGTACCACGATCCTAAGGCAGAGGCGGCTAACGCCGTTGATGAAAGAGTGGACGTTCGATTAATCAAATCTGTTGATGAAGCTGAGGGACGAAAGATCTATTCTTTTACTGTGAAAGTGAGTGTAAAAATGATTGTTATGATGTTAAAGCTTGAAGTTTTGAGAAGAATTAAAAGTTGAAATGGATACAAGTTAAGAACATGCAGACTCTACCACAAAAAAGTATAGACGAATTAGTAAAAACAAGTCATGCAGTCACATTTGTCAAGTGTTTTCAAATAATAAAACCATGCAGTCACATTTGTCACTCACATGTTTTCAGATAATAAAACCATGCAGTCACATTTGTCAAGTGTTTTCAGATAATAAAACCATGCAGTCACATTTGTCACTCACATGTTTTCAGGTAAACACAGTAAATCAGTAAGATCATACAGTCACATTTCTCACTTCGGTCATTTTGGTCATTTATGGGTTTAAAGATTGATTCTCAGGATTCTCTGTAAGTTCAACATTACTCTGTAACGATTCACATTTCTGTAAATCAAATCATTGTTTTTATGAAGTGTTCAACCACTGGCATGATCTCAATCAGTATATAAGTTATTAATGTTAATAAGATGATATTAATAATGTGTTTGCGAATGCAGGTTTGGAATCAAATACTACAAACTAGTTTGAAAACTAAGAAACTTTCCTGTAACATAAATGGGCAAACTGAAATTTGGAAACAGTACGTTTGGTTTCATCACAGTGCTTAGGAGAGTCGAAAGAAAACACATTTGAATTGTTTACTTGCTTCTTCCATTATAGGTGGCAGCCTGACTTGCTGTAATAATGTTTCTGAGAAAAAAAATGCTGTGAATCAGAGTTTTTCCCATTGCGTTTAAACTTTCTTAAACTTGTGCTCATAACATGATATCGTTTTGCTGCCTTATTTAACTTTGTTACAATTCAAACTTGGTTTAACTGAAGAACATTTCTAGTTGTTTGTCTTAGAACAAAGCCACGTTAGGCTATCAGCTATGTCCACCAGAAGGAATCGAACCATGGATTTTAAAATTGTAAATCCGTAAACTTAACGAGGAACTAAAACATTTCTGTCAACCCTTTTAGCACGGGCTGATACATTTTGACTGGGGGAATGACATATAGGCAAAAAAACATGTCTTAGAACAAAGCCACATTAGGCTATCAGCTGTGTCCACCATAAGGAATCGAACCATGGATTTTAAAATTGTAAATCCGTAAACTTAACGAGGAACTAAAACATTTCTGTCAACCCTTTTAGCACGGGCTGATACATTTTGTATCACTTTGACTGGGGGAATGACATATAGGCAAAAAAACATGTGGTAACTCTTTGTGTATAAACCTCATAGGTTTATACACAAAGAATGACATTACGTTTTTCTAATAAAAATGTTAATTGTACTCAGACTGTTAAAATAGTTCTAGTGCAAGGTGTTTTTCATTTGTATAACCTCTAGAACCTTCTAAATGAATATCAAAAGTTTTTAAGGTAAATGTTTATTTTTCATTTTCTCTACCACATCACTAACTGTAGATATTATCGTCAACCTGCAGTGCAACGTAATAATTAAAATTAGGAAATAGAAGAAAAAATAACCATTTTTAGTAGAATATCTTTAAAGATGTTGTTTTGGTTCAATTCGTAATTTCGGGTCTTTTCCTTTTGACATAGTTAATTATTAATATTTTATTTTCCTTTTTTTGTCCTTTAACACTCACCTCGACACAAGTCAATGGTGCCCTCGATGGAATAATATTACGGTGTCTCTGGCAGACAAGTGCAACCTTTCAATAATATCGTAAACCTTGACAACTGATGTGAAGTTTGAATTTTTTTATGTGCCTCTCAGAAAGTTGTTTAAGTAGATAAAAATTTTTTTTTCGTTAATAGTTATATTATTTATCAAACATTTGACAAACATGTAAAAACAAAATCAACAGAAGTACATTAAGATGTTTATTTACTGGGGTACCTAACTTTATCTTGTTCTTACACAAAGGCTACTTTGTGTTGTACCTCTGCCGAAAAGAACTATGAACTTGTATCACTGTGGTCATTTGAATGATTGACTTTCTTTATTGGTCACCTCCCAATGGCACAGCGGCATGTCTGCGGACTTAAAATGCTAGAAACCGGGTTTCGATACCCGTGGTGGGCAGAGTTTTTTGCCCCCCAGTGGCACAGCAGTATGTCTGCGGACTTACAATGCTAGAAACCGGGTTTCGATACCCGTGGTGGGCAGAGTTTTTTGCCCCCCAGTGGCACAGCAGTATGTCTGCGGACTTACAATGCTAGAAACCGGGTTTCGATACCCGTGGTGGGCAGAGTTT